CTATCAGTGCGTAACACATAAGCCGAGCCCTTTCTTACCATGAATAAAGATATGGTTTCACTTGCTTTCAACGAACGTATAGCAATAACAGAGATCGGGATCTTATCCCTCTAATTCCATCTGTTCAGTTTTATTTATAACAGTTGATTATTATTATTATTATTATTATGAATTTTTTTCTTGTATGCAAAATTACTGTAGCCTACGTAATGTTTTTATCTGTTTGTTATTTACGGTATTGTCGCTGCCCATTTGTAATACTAGTTTTTATTAACTTAATTAATTTAGTAACTTTTACTAAAAACAGTAATAAAATAAAAAAACCTCGATAAAATCGAACACGGTGTGGCGATTAATGACGGTTTAAGTTGTTGCGGTCTGTTGCACACAAAAGTTAACAAATAATTAAAATGAACATTAAAAAAAATCTTATTTGTTAGAATGCCCCCCCCCCCTCCTTTTTTGTGTAATTTTAACCTGAATTATAATATTGCTTGAAAACACTTTCTATTTCGAAGTCTTAGAATGCGTTGAAACGAACACAGCGAGGCAATGGTGCCTCTATACATTTTATTTGACTTAGTGAATTTAATAAACATCCACGTACAACTGTATACAAACAAACAACTGTTACATATTCAAAGATATATAGTGGGTTAATGCGTTTAAAATGACAGGGATTTATTTCGGCTAGTGACTGATTTGATACTCAGTTGACAAACTTCTTAAATTCTGTCCTTAATTAATTAAGAGGACACAAACTCCGTCTCTGACAGCAGTTCTCAAGGTGGGTGTCACTGAGGCCTGGCTTGCAGAACACCTCTCTTCCGGGGCCTGGGCCAGCATCCCTCCCGTCCTGTGCTAAACCACAGGAAAATGGCAACAATCTGGAAAGAAAATAGTCCAAATGCGTGGTTACATATAGCCATCACGTTTCCAGGAGCTCGTAAAAAGGCAGACGTTTAAATGAAGCAGAAAACTATTCCCCAATGAGCTAGTGATGAGGAGCAGCACTTTTCTTTACAAGTTTAATTACAGTTAAATGCCTTCACAAAGGTGTTGTTCCGTATATATATATATAAATGTGCAGGCAAATGCGTGAGAGAGATTTTCATTTGAATTATTTTACGAGGAATGTGCAACTGGCAAGCTATCACTAAAGAAAAAAATGTGACATTGTTTTATACAATAGATCTGTGCATTTAAGTCACCTTTGCTCGCTTTAAAATAAAACAACTGAATTTTAAGCTAAATATTCTAATTATAATAATAATAATAATAATTCAACAATGTCGTTTTAATATTATATACTCAATACGTACATCAATATATTGTGGTCAAATATTATTTAGCCTATGTACAACTGATAAAACGCATTCACTGTCTTGTTTTTCTCAATGAAAAAACTCAGAATTTTTGTATCTATTTTATTAACATATGTTTCGTATCTGGATGTGTCTTGACACGTTTTACCGATTAAACGTTTAATATGGAGTCAGTCAATAAACCAATAAATGTCATTTGTCAGTGGGGGGCTTAGTAACAAGATCACGTCTTCCTTCAGAGCCGGGTTTAGTATCTGGACATATAAGTGTTTAAAGCATTTTGCCCTATTAATCCATCTGAACCTCTTTAATTTGCCAAAAGCAGATACGCCAAATAAAGTGCGAATTATTTAATTTATGAATGAATCAGGCTCTGCAGTTAGTTTGCACAAAATCAAAAGGTGCCAATCCACCCTCTCACTCTCAGAGAAGATAATTACGCACATAAACGTGTACTTACGCGCTTCATGCGGCCTATTACATTAATTTGAGAAAAAACAAATATCCTAAGCATGGTTTTAAACATATCTCACAATATGCTTATGTGCCAGAGTTTATGATTATAGTAATACACCGCTCTGTCTTCTATCACGCTCGCCATAAAAGCAGAAGTGAGTATTGCCCATCGTTCAGGAATGATATCAACGAAAAAAGACTGACAGTGGATATGCATTGCTGTTACTGGCTGCTTTAGATGTCTTGGAAAACACCTGCATGAGCCCATGTGCTCCCACGGGATCTGGTGACAAAATGAGCTCCGTTTTACTGCAGAACGGTCTTCTGATTATAAAGAGAAATCCTAAATAACCATTTATGATTTAATATGCTTCATCTTAAGCTCGTACTGTGATTTCCAAAAACATGAGAGAAACACTAATAATAATAATAATAATATGCAATTACATTAGAGTTACAAAAACAGCAGCATGTGCAGTTTTTGATAATGCAAAAATAACTAATTTAAATACATAAATAAATAAATAAATGTTTACTAGTTGAGTCAGCAAGAAACGCTATCCTTCTAATTTCTGACATCTTTCCGCATCATATTAACTTGCTATCTTTTGATGTGTCCAACAGGACCGATATTACATGCCAAATGCAGAAAATAACTGCGGGTGTTGCTATTGCACTGCTGAGGCTTGATTCTGACAGCACGGCTACAGCCTTACAATGACCATTAAATTGCGATGATTGTGCACATGCAAACATGACTGCAGTTTAGATGTACAGAGTAACCTGTA